GTAAAATAGTAGTAAGAATTTTCATATTTAATTTAAATATATTAATAAAATTAATATAATAAAAAAAATAAAATTAATATAAGCTCTTACATATTAATATAGGAGAATACATCTATGTACAATAATTATAATTGCATATAATTTGTATTTTATATTTATTTACTTTAATTTACTCATTTATTATATTTACTTTATAATATTGATCATACTCCCTAAAATTCTTTTTGTGTTCAAAAAATGTATAAAAAAAATTCAACTTTAAATTCTCTACCGTTTGTCTGCCTTCGTTTTTTGCCCTAATCTATTGTCAAAACTATGCCAAGTCTACAACTTAATTAGGCAAAGCCGCAACCAAAACAGCACCAACTAATTATATTAAAGAAGATGAAGAAGAAAAGTGCAGAAGCAGAGGAAGAAGAAGAAACCCCATTTGTGAATTGCTCTCCAGCGCGCTGCTTGTCTTCATAGAACTGAGCAGACGGCATCTTTTATGGTTTATTTTCATGTTCTTATATTTTTTGTATTTTTTCTTGCCAGTCTTCCATTTTTTCATTAGTCAGCAGCAAAGCTGTCGCATAATAGAATTTGAAAAGGCTTTAAAAAAAACTAGCTAGCTGCGCGCAGCGTTATCAAACTGAGGCAGCAAATGAAAAATAATGAAAAAATTGTGGAAAAGCGAACAAAACGGCGCAGTGATGAAAATAAAAATGAGAAAAATATATATAGCAACATCAAAGACAAGCGCCATAACCCAAAAACATAAATTCCATGGAAAATAAATAAAGCAAATGGCAAAAGAAATGAATATGCTGCAAGACTTCGCGAGTTGCCAGATTATATAGAAGCTTTGTCTCAACCAACACATACAGAGCTATGCTCTCTATGTGGCTAAGAAAAGAAAAGCAAAATGAAGTTGATAAGCGGCCAACGACGAACCACTTTCTAACACCCAGACTATAGAGCAGCCAGTGGAGTGTCGACTGCTTCTATTGAATGCATTTGGCACTAGGTTTAGGTTAGGTGAGCGCAGCTACTGCTACTGCTACCCCAAAGAATAGTAGTCAAGCCAGAGCAAGCTGTGGAGCCACAGAAAAAAAAATAATGAGATTTTGCTGCATGAAAATGACAGAACAGTGCATAAAGAACTGCGCGAAATGAAAGTAAGAAGAAAACAAAAAACACTGCACTTTATTGCACTCTTAAAGTTTTATATAAAAAATGCAAACAATATTAAAGAATATACAGAAAATACACTTGGTTTATGATGCGTTAAAATTTAAAGATTCACTCAAAAGATTTAAAGTGGAAAAACACTTTTATATATTTGGTTTGCTTATAAAGGTAACTGGAGTAGAGGAGCCTTTCAATCTGAGTACTGCAAGGGTGTAGAAATATCTTTAAATAATTTTAAAATATATATAGAACTTCAGGGTAAAATGCAGAGTTTTAAGAGGAAGAGCGATGAAGCGAGCAAGTATCGCAAATAACTGTAGACCGTTTCACGAATAAAGGGTCTCTCATTCAGACGCTGAGAAAAACTCTTAGAAGAACCGATTGCCTCTTCGTTCGTGATCGACGAGTTACCTTCTATTCGCTTTGGTTGCTCCCCAATAGTTTACTCAATCAAACAAGTTTTTAGTGTAGGTACGCAAGGAGCTGGCTTTTAAATTAATTTAATATATGCGGAGTTGCTTCACTCAGACTTCAACCTCTCAAAAATTATAAGTACAATTCTTACTTTCTATTTATCTTTCTATATCCTCATCAAAAGCCTTGCGAATTGAATCATCCTTAAATCAACATATGCAAGGAATGAAATTGAAATTATATTAATATTTCAAAGTTCATTGATAATCAACTCAATTGTGAAATTTGTAAGAACTAATACAACAAAACCCAATTAGACAAACATCTTTCACAAGTACTACTCACTACTACTGTCTACTTATGCATTTAATGTTTGCCATTGTAACTCATTCTATTATAATATTTACCAATTTATCTGTGGACTGGAGAATTAAATCAAATGAAGCGATTGTTTATTTCAAAACTGTCACAAGTAGTCAGTCGTCTGGAGAGGGCGGGCAGGCTGCACATAAATTATCAGCTGACAATTTAATAAATAATGCAAGGCGACTCTGTGCAGGACGATAATTAATTCAAGGATCCAAATCAGCCAAGACAACGTCAAGGAGCAACTGCTTCAGTGCAAACTCAACTCAAATAGGCAATGTGCCAATTACTATGCCCCAAAGACGGCACGTCTACAGCAGCAGCTTCTGTAAAATGTTTATGCACCATTGAAGTGATTGCAATTATTATTATGAATTTGCTTGTTAATGCTCACAGAGATAATTGTGAGAATTGTGTAAGCGAGAAGTACATGAAAATACACTTTACAGTGTGGAGAATGAGGAGCGGATGCTCACTGCCATTGATTTGCTCAGAGTCGATGAATAAAACATATTGCGCCACGTGTGTGTGTATGTGTGTGAGTGTGTCTGTCTGCCTGTGTGGGTGAGGACTAAAATATTTAT